CGTTTAGCAATTCGTTGTTAAAGCAACCTGTGTTTGTATGACAAAGAAAGAGTATTCGAACATAAGATAGAATGACCAGGCTTAAAGTACATCCTGAAGCCAAATTCTTACAACGTTAAGACTCAAACATTCAAAAGAAAAATTCTGAAAGCCAGTGAAACGGCTATGCTCATAGTTGTCAATGGAAAGACAAAAGAAGCATTGGCTAAAAATCTTATTAAACTATCTAACATGGACCAGAGTCCACTGTATAATATATGCATCAATTGTCAAGTAACAACAATGGGTCATATATCACAATTATTCTCTATCTTAAGCATATGCACGAGGAGGATTGCTCGAGCAAAGAATGTAGCACAGAGTTGTTGATTCAATCATAAAAATGCAAAGAGACTAGGCTATTGCAGATTGTTTATCATAAAGGTCTTCAAGATGTAACGCTCTAAGGAGCTTTGGCCATGATTCTGGGATTCCACCTGGTAATTCAAACTCCAACAACTTCCCACGCTTCCTATAGAACTCCTCCACTGGTTGAGTCTGTGAAAGATGAAAAAAACATTAACAAAAACTTTGTTAAGTCTATGAAAGTTTGAATCATGAAAGTCAAAAGAAGGGAAAAAAATTACCATTTTGTTGTAAATCCGAAGTCTTTCCTTGACAACTTCTTCGGTGTCATCAGCTCGGCTTATAAGCTTTGATTCACAGTTTGGCGGAGGAAGAAGCGGAGGCATATACATTCTGGGACTAACATCATCACCTTTGATATCAATGCACGCAACATTATAGTTTCCACCACATTCACTGCAAATTCTTCTTCCTAGACATTTCGCAAGTAATGCCTCTTCTCGAAGCTTCAGGTTGATAACTAGATCGACATTAGTTACTCCCTCCAGTATTTCCTACACGAAAAAACAGAGAGGATGTCGATATTATTCAACCAAAGAATCCTCCATTAGCCTCAATCTACAAAAAAGCAATAAACTGCTCACCGCCTGTGTCACGGTTCTTGGAAAACCATCAAGAATGTAACCAGATTCTCCTTTCTCTTTGCCAGCTTGGAGACGCTTTGATAACAAACTTATTATGAATTCATCAGGAACCAATTTTCCATGGTTTACAAGCTCCTTTAGCTACACACCAATGCAGAAAAAAATTGACAAACATAAACATTGACGATAATCACTTGGCAACAAAACGATAAGCATCTAAAAACACATGTTATGGTTGATAACAAATCTCTGCAGATATATACATTTACCTTCCAGCATCTATTTGTTACAATAAGAATCAATCCAAGATTATGCAGCTAGCTTATTCAAGATCATCGAACATAACATTAAATCTCAGAATCTATTGAGTGTGATTTGAACATAAGCAAAGAACAAGGACCCCTATCGAGCCATTTTCCGTAGATATTTGAGGAAACTAAAGGAGAGAATCGCAGAGCTACACAAATTGAATCGCTAATTGAGCAAAGGGAAACCCTAACCTGAGAGGAGAGGAGACCAGAGGAGGAGAGCTCGTCGCGAACGAGATCACCAGTGGCGATATGAGGAACACCGAGGAGAGAAGAGAGACGAGAAGCATAGGTACCTTTACCAACACCGGGACATCCGAGAAAAACCCAGTGGAAATTTCTGTCTTTGGAAGGAGTCGGAGACGTAGACGAAGACTTCTCGAGCTGAGCCCTGGCTTCTTCGAGATCGATCTCAGGGTCAAGCGTAGGCCCAGAAGGAGAAGAAGATAGAGACCTAATTAAGAAAGAAGAAAAGGTATTTTTGGCCGTCGTCGCCGGCGAGTAGAGCCTAAAGAGGCGGTGAGAAACCGCCATGGAGAAAAGAAGATGAAGAGGAAGAGGAAGAGGAAATGATTGTTGTGTTGTTGCATCATCGTCCAAGACGAAAGGGGAAAAGATTGATTGATGAAGAAACAAAAATGTGAGTTTCTTTTTTTTTTGGCTCGTGAGGAAAACGTGTCATGTCACTGTCTCTCTCTTTCTCTCCAAGGCTTACGAATGCATATCTCTTTTTTTATTGTTATACATGTCAATTGTCCATAATTTTCAATGATTCGTACCGATAAATGTCTAATAATCCATACCGATCAATGTCGAGCATAACCAAATCAAATTGCTTGTCTATACTATACCGGACGATGATCCGGTTTGTCTTGGGTCGGGTCTTCTTCTAGACCTGTTTGGGATCCCATTAATCAAATCCCTCGCCGGTTTCCATCATCTCTCCTCCCCTCCGGAACACACAAACCTAACTCCGATCGAAGAAAAGCGACCATCAATCACTTGCCTCAGATTTCCCCGAATCTCTTACGAACCCTAAATGGATCATCAAGAAGACGACGAGGTTAGATTTTTCCAGATTACCGATGCTCTTGCTCCACGATATTCAATTCAATTCTTTGTTTCTTCCGATGCGTTAACTCGATAATCGTTTCCTTGTTCTGGTTATTGCAGGAAGCTCTTGCTCGCCTTGAGGAGATTAAGAAATCAGTTGAAGCTAAAATGACTCTTCGTCAAAATAACCTCAATCCTGAACGGCCTGGTTGGTTTTTTTTTGTTTTCTGCTTCCTCATGACATGATTTTCTATGATGAGAGAAGATTACATAGGTAGAATTTGACTATTTAGGGTTTTTTCACAATGCTTTTGTCAATGGTCGAGTAGGATGATTCTATTTTAGAATCTGTAGTTTGAGTTGTTGCTACTGAGAGTTAGTCCTCCATGTTGCAGATTCAGCATATCTTAGGACTTTGGATTCTAGTATTAAGCGGAATACGGCAGTTATCAAGAAGTTAAAGCAGATTAATGAAGAGCTACGAGAAGGGCTGATGGATGATTTGCGAAGTGTAAACCTTAGTAAATTCGTTAGTGAAGCAGTTACTGCCATTTGTGAGGCCAAGCTCAAAAGCTCAGATATACAAGCAGCTGTTCAGGTTGGCCTTGCTGTTTCCTCTCTTATTCTTTTGTATATGTTCGGTATTAACATCTGCTTTGCTCCTATGGCTTTATTTTCTTTCAGTATTCAGACATGTTTGGTTTTTCTTCGTAAGAAAGTTATCTACTGTTAGGATGTTTTGGATTGGAGTAGATCAGAGCCCTTTTTCTTATGTTATTCATGCGACCCTAGTGATCAGTATGTCTCATTGAGATTTTCAGTACTTGTTATCTTTGTTTAAATGGTTTCTTAATACATTCAACTGCGTGGTATGTCAAATCCCCTACCCCAGTTTAGGTTCTGTTGAAAGAATACCTTGTCCTCTCGGTTTAGATGATAATTGAACCTCTTTTCACTTTGTATTTCTTATGGGGTGTAACATAGTAGCATAAGACGATCCTCTCTGCTAAGTATTTGTTTCAAAGCCTTGTATTGTAGCTGATTACCATGTTTTACGACAGATATGCTCGCTACTTCATCAGAGGTATAAAGAATTCTCTCCTAGTCTAACACAAGGGCTCTTGAAAGTCTTCTTTCCTGGAAAATCTGCCGAAGATTTAGAGGTGGACAGAAACTCGAAGGCCATGAAAAAGCGCAGTACCCTAAAACTTCTTCTGGAGCTCTACTATGTTGGAGTGATAGAAGATAGTAACATCTTCATCAATATTATTAAGGATCTTACCAGTGCTGAACATTTGAAAGACAGAGATACGACCCAAACAAATTTGACACTTCTTGCCAGTTTTGCTCGGCAAGGAAGAGTTTTTCTGGGTCTTCCTATTTCTGGACAAGACGAAGATGTAAGTAGGTTTCATGATCAGCTGAAAGTTTTATCCCCACTATTTGATGCGTTCTTATGTGTGCCATCCCCTAGCTCTGTTAAAATATATCTTACTAGATATCGTTGGTAGTTAAAAGGGCATGATTCTTTGAAGTGCTACTGATTCCACTCCTGCTGTTCATGAGCATTATCCATATCTGATATATAGCTAAATCTGACTACGGTTTACAGTTTTTTAAGGGTCTCGACGTCACTGCAGAACAGAAA